TCCTTTGAGGGAGAAGGAAAGGAACCCTATAATCATTTCATGGTCACTACACATCTTTAAAATAGTCTGACTTTCTCTATCAAAGCAAACACAATAACATGCAACGTAAAATGTCTTGTTTTATTAAAAAACTTAAGGTATCAAGGTATTTGGAAACCTGGTTATTAAAAAAAATCTAAACAATATATGTCAATACTTGACTTTCAAGGTGCTTTCTCTATCATGCATCTCTTAGCTCTTAAGATGCAGATCCTCCTTATACAAACTCAACATGAACACCCTGAGGACAGAGCCCTCTCCCAGCCCTATTAAACCAGAAGTGTCTTGGAGTTCCACTTTACCATAGTTTCCAACTCCTGGGCACATCACCTAGCACTGTCTCCATGTTAGCCACTGGCCACTACTTGCTAATGTTTCTAGTCTACCAGAATGTACAGCTTGGACAAGGTGTGAATGTCATCTGTCCTGCCCAATGTTTCATTTCGTCACCATCTTGTGGTCTTGATTGGTTTTGTTTTCCCTGTCAGTTAAAAATTAAAAGGCAGAAAAAGTCTCTAGGAGACAAAATCTCAAACATAGCAGATAGCAGCAGACAGATTCAACTGGTAAAGTAAGGCTTTTATAAGGGGTGAAAAGGCCAAATATACACAGAAATACACAGCAAAAAACCCTTCACAAAGCAGAGAAGGGAGGCCTCTTCTGGAGGTCTGGGGTGGGTGTTTTTTTGTTATATATATATATATATATATTTATATATATATAATTTATATATATTTAATATAAATATATTATATATAAATATAAATATATATAAATATATAAATATATATAATATATATAAATATATATAAATATATATATATATATATATATATTTGAAGGTTCTTCCTTCCCTAGCTTGTGGTTGGTCAGTTTGAAAAAAAGACAGAATAGCAGATCTACCCATAGCTTCACATCAGTGTAGTGGTCTGTCCTGTCCCTTTAAGAGACAAGCCCTGCACCTCCACCCCAGTCAGATTTTCCCTCAGCTTTCAGCCTTAGCTCTCTCTTTTCTGTTTCTCTCCTGATCTCACACCTCCCCCTTCTCTTTCTCTCTGCCTCTCTGCTCTTCTCTTTTCTCCCCTTCCCCCTTCTCCTTTTGTGGTCTCCCACCCACTGCTTGAGGCCACTTGGGGACCTGTGCCACTTTTATCATTGTGATCAGACAGGAACTTGTTGAGTCAGACCCTTGGCAGGGCCCCTACTGATGGGAGCAAAAGCCACCACGAGTTGTTTTTTTTTTTTTTTTTTTTAAACTGAGAGACTTTTGTCTCTGGTTAGGAAGGTGAGGAAGAAACCAGCCATGTTGGAATTTCAACATCTTTATTATTTTGCTATGCCTCCTGTCCTAACTCTCTGCCTACCAGGGAAACTAAATCCTAGTCCCTCAATCCTAAATGCCCCATGTGTGAAAAAACAGAGCTCAACAGTATTTGTAAACTGTATAAATTAATGAAAAACATTTTAGGCAAAGCTATCACGGGAGAAAGGGTGGCCTGTGCCTCCAGTGTTAGCTCTGCAGAGAACTTTGCATTATGGAAGATAGTAAGTACAAGACTGAGTTTCGGTAAACAATGAAAAAGGCTGACTACACCTTTAAACTCTGAAAAGATCCCTAGCTTAGGTTCTGCTTCTTACAGCCTTGCTGTTGAGGTTTCTGTAAAGTTCCCTGTTGAGAAGTCTTGGGCCAAAGTACCTCCCTCCCCAAACCTGACAGGTTCCTTATCTGCAAATCATTGCTGAGAGGTCCTGAAGGCAAGGAGATTCTTTTCTGCATCACCCACCCAGCTTCATCTGCTAAAAGGAAGGGTAGGGCCATAAATTCACAAAGTTTCTTCCCTCCTGGCTCCAAGAGCAGCTGACTACCTGTTTGTACTGATTGACCTCAGCACAGTCCTGTGGAGCAGAAAGACCTTTGTCCAGGGACCTCAGGTTGTAATCAGCCTGGTTCTTCTTTCAGAGTTTTGTATTTCATATAATCCATAAGCATTGACCATTACGAGGTAGGAATTTGTGTGAAACAAATGGCTCAAGGTCCTGTAAAAAGATTCACAACCAATGGTAATGCAAAACTTAAAACTGTGACTGGGGAATAGCACATAAGCAGGTGGACATGGAAGGTTCTGCTAACGATGCTGTGGATGGCTAAGGTACATGCTGCACCTAGCCAAGGACTGGATTCCTTTGCTAGAGCTGCTCTAACAAAGGGCACACTTCTAAAGCAGTAGAAATTGATGATCTCGTGGGTTTTGGAGGTATTACCTTAGATGAAAATATTTGTAGGTTAATCCCTCCTGAGCATGTGGGAAAGGCTGTGCAGTGCTTTTCTCCGATTCACGTATTTTGAAGGCCATCTTTCCTGGCCTGTCCTTTGACATCTAGAGGCATCATCTTAGGGACATCACTGACCCTTGGTATTCTTCTTGATGCTTGCTCAGTGATCTGGTCTCCATTCTTGATAAGAACACCAACCATATTGAGACACCCTACTTGAATAAGGTTTGGTCCTTACCTAGCTAACTATGATGCTATTTTCAGTCAAGGTCACATTCTGAGGTGCTGCAGTCTACACTTCAACATATGGATTTAGGGTGGGGTGAAATTCAGACCGTAAAAACAACCATTATTGTATTCCTTGTTTATCAGGTACAGAGTCCCTAATAATCAGATCTTCTTAGTGTATTCATATGCATTAAACAATCACTAGCATGTTAGTGGCTTACTGTAAATCAGACACTATATTAACTAGTGCATCAGTGAGTTCTTTTAGCACTGATATGAGACTGTTCCACCTTGACTAAGGGTCAGAGAGTTTGAGCTTACTTTACTCTTTCAAACCTATTCCTGGTCCTTCATTTTAAAACAAGAAATTTAATATAAGGAGTGGCTCCCCACAGGATACTTGGTCTAGAGTGTATTCACTGCATATCCTGCCCAAAACATCAAATGTTTTACTTAGGAAGTAATGACATGATGTCTCAAATATTGAAGCAAGTAACTGTTCTGGTTGTCCTTTGTGAGATGTTAAAGCAGTCTTTTCCCTACTCCCCGGCCCCTTTTGTATTGGGATATAAAAGCATATGAAAATTAAACACGGGCGAATTCAGTATGCAGTATACACCGAGTTGCCCTCCTGGTACTCCTATGTCTGTGTGTTTCTTCCATGTCTCCGTTCCTCCTACCTAACATGTCTAATCCATATGTCCCTGCCCTGGAACATATGAACCCATCATGGCTGAACCATGACAGAAATCACCCAAATCACCCCAAAAGTGTGACTTACGACAGTTATCTAGTTACTTTGCCAAAATACAATGAGTGACCCACTCCCCGGATCATAGCAGCTGTGTGCCAGCATGGAATGCAAACCTTCAGGTAGCTGTAACGACCACTCCTCAGAAAGCTCTCCACCAGCAGCTCAGAGTTCCAGAAGCCTGTCAGGAGATGATGGGGGAACACTGAGGGTGGCCTGTCTTACTGCCGGTTCTTGTAGCCTGGTGTCAGGACAACTCAGAGTAAGGCTTGAGCCTCTAAAAGGGAAAAAAAACAAAACTGAACCCTGAACCCACATGACACTTGCTGTGTCTGTTTGAAAATGAGATGATGAAATGAGACACCATGTTTGCTTTTCTCTGCGCTGACGTGGAATTAAGGAGGAACACTGCACAGGATAGACTTCCTTTCAGTAGTGTTTAACTTATTGCTTAAACATGCTTACTAATTTTACTTTTAAAAGTACTTGATTTAAAAGTACACTGTTTTTCAACTTGAAATGATAAAATTATATAAAATGATTTAAATAAACTATAATTCTAATAGTCAGGATGATCCCAGAAGACATTTTGACAAATATGGGCTAGATCTTGTTTCAAAGTCTAGTTTTATTATTTTTTGAAGTTTAGCATATTTTAAATTTGGCATAGTGTCTTGGGGGGTCTAATTTTTACATTCCATTCAGCCCACCCAATACCATATAATTACTTGCTTACTATATAGTGTTAACATGACTTATTTATCCATCTCCTATCGTTTCATTCTTAATGCATCTAGAAATTATTTTTTTTAAAATTTTGAAATACAAAACCTCTTAAAAATATATGTTTAATGTTAACCACTTCTCAGTAAAAGACAGAAAATACTCCTGTCAGAATAAAGTAAGAATTTTTAATATTTTTGCACTTACTTATTTAGTGAGGGTGTGTGTGTGTGTGTGTGTGTGTGTGTGTGTGATGTACACATATGTGTGTGTGGGTGAGTGGGTGCACATGCCATGGTCAGAGAACTTTCAGGAAATGGTTCACTCCTTCTAGGAATTGAACTCAGGTCATCAGGGTTGGTGACAAGTGCCTTTACCCTCTGAGACAAATCACCTGCCCTAAGTAAGATTTCTAAAAGATATATGGCTATATAAAGTAAGTAGAAGTAAAGAGCAATTTTACTTGTAACATGCTCCTGTTTCTGAGCAAGCCTGTGGAGAGTCCAGTGTGATGTGTCTTACTCCAGGGGAAGCATAGCATGAGTTTTGTCTTTCTCCAATATGGTGGGTTTTCCAGCATTGTTTATACACTTTGAAAATGTTCGAGACACATGAAATTTGAGCTACAATATTCACTTGGACAGCTAAAGTCAAGAATTCTTGAAGGGGTTTAGTTGGAGAATGTGTATTTTAATATATATGAATAAGACCACTATCTCTCTCTTCAAATTTATGATAATCTCAATTATGAGTAGCTCTGGTGTTCAGTGTGTTGCTAAGGAATAGCAAACATGAATAATATGTGATTAATTGTGAGATGATGAAAAATGCACTATGTTGATAAGACACACATTATTAAATTCCAAAATAACATTAGTAAAAAAACAAAGATTGTGAACCATGTTATCTTTCTCTACTTGGTGGACTAGAATGAGCGGCTCATCAGCTGAATACAGTCTCTTCAGCTCTCTCACTTTCTTCCCAGGTGTTGGGAGGAGATTGAGCGTGACCAGGAGCAGCTTCTGGATGGCATCTCTGAGTTGGACATCAAGACTGGAGGTGTCCCCTCACAGCTGTTGGTGCATGGGTCCCTGGCCTTCCCTCTGGGACTCAATTCCTCCCTTGGCTGCTTCCTAGCAGCTGCCCACTATGGCCGTGGTCGTGTGGTATTGGCTGCCCACGAGGCCATGCTCTCAGCTCCTAAGATGGAGCCCTTTTTGTTCAATGCTGTACGTTGGTTGGCTAGAGATCAGAAGGACAAAATTGGGGTGAACAAAAGTCTAAAGAATCTGCATTCCTTATTGTTGGATCATGGCTTGAATTGCAGTCTGGAGTCCCATTTGACCAATGACATGTGTGTCTACTGCTGTGGGGCTTATAGTGACCAGGATGCCAAGAAAATACAGGAGTTTGTTGCTGAGGGTGGGGGGTTGCTCATTGGTGGTCAGTCCTGGTGGTGGGCTTCGCAAAATACAGGCAGTTCTGCTTTGGCTGGTTTCCCTGGAAATATCATCCTCAACCCATTTGGCCTCAGCATCCTGCCTCGTACCCTCAGCCCAGGCTCTTTCCCTGTTCTTCCTACAGAGATAAGGAACTATCACTTTCGCAGGGCTCTCTCTAAGTTCCAGGCTGTGTTGAACCAAGAGGGTGGGGACTTGGAAAAGAAGTATTTGGCAAGGTTGGGAGTAGATGCTGCAGGCTTCCTCCAGATTCCTGCACAGGGTGTTCCTGCTTATACATCTCTGCACCGGCTCCTGAGGAAGATGCTTAGAAAGGCAGGCCTTCCAGCTGTGAGCAAGAAAAATCCAGTTTCCAGTCACTCCTGTGAGGCTGCAATGCTCCATCTGGCCACAGAGCTGGCACATTCTGGGACTGATTGCTCCCAGCTAGCTGAGGGACATGGCTCTCAGACAAGCTCCTCCAATCTCTGCCCCTCGGAGCACCCCATCACTGTGGAGATCAATGGAACCAATCCAGGTACAGAGTGGGCAGAGAAGGTGGGTTTGGCTGACTTTGCAGAACCTGGGAGGTTCTGATCCTCAACAAGGATAGCTCCTTGCTTGCTACATACTTCCAAGACAATGGAAGCTGGGGTGGTGCTTAATTAAGGCCAAGGAGGAAAGGATACAGGAAGTGTGGATGCTGACTTGGAGGTCATGGAAGAAAAGCTGTGTCTGTGGGAGGCTCCAGGTAGAGTCAGTCCAGTAGGAACACAGAACTCAGCCTTCTCTGTGTCTTGTCAGGTGATAGTGATGCCTGGATGAGCACTGGTCTCTACCTTCTGGGAGGACAAAGCGCAGAGGTCTCTCTCTCTGAAGCTGCTGCCTCTGCTGGCCTGAAGGTAAGGCTAGACACTTGGAACCAGCACAGCCCCAAACATAGCCAAGACTCTCTCACACCACAGTTACTTGTTTATATCTCCCTCCTTTAACCAGAAGGATTCCAGGGGAGGGTTCTTCTGCCTTTTTTATAGATGGAACAGCAGAAACTGCAAGCTATTAATCATGCAAGGTCATTCCTAAGCCTGATTTCCAATTTTACCTCCTTAGAGGAATAAGGAAGAGTGATTTTACCTACCAGTACTGACCATTTTTCCCTAATTCGGAGGCCTGAGTTTGTTCCCTTCACCTTGACTCCTACAGGATGTGATTAATCCCATTACCTGTATCATGAAGAGAAATGAACTTATGCAGAAGTTAAATTCTTCTGCCCTCTCAGTTCTGAGCCTCGTTTCCTACTACAGTTAGGGGCTCTTATTTTGGCATTCCAAATATCTACTTCAGTCTGACAAAGGCAAAGTGGAAACCCCACGGACGGAGCACTTAGCAATGAATTGGGAAAAGGAGAGCTGGAGAGCTGATAGTTTTCTGGAGTTTTCTGCTTCCTGGCTAGACTCTGTAGCATGTGAAAGACCTACTATCTGCTCATGATGGATTGACTGGGATGCTCTGCCTCACATAAAACAACTGAGCCACCTTGTATTTTAAGTTCAATGTCCAGGATTCTCCCTAGAAGTGCGACTCCATGAGTCCCTCATCAGCTATGCCTCGTAATTATCCAATGAACATCAAAGAACAATCCACTGTTGGACTGTTTCACACCCCTAGAAAACCTTAAACTTATGTTGAAGTCGGGAAGACTTTGGAGTGCTAGAGTTTCACAGATTGCAAACATCACAGAAAGAGGAAGCTGGGATTTTACATATAAAGTCCACCCTCCTTATGCCCCTAACAAAACACTGCATGCTTCTTGGGTGCTCCAGTTCCTCTCCTGTGGTGCAATTGCCTGTGCAGGTGCAGATTGGATGTCACACTGATGACCTAAGCGAGGCCGAGAAGCTGTCTCGAGCTCCTGTGATAACTTACCAGTGTTGTATGGACAGAACCCAGCGGTCAGTCTCCTGCCTCTGGGGTGGTCTCCTGTACGTCGTTGTGCCCAAGGACTGTCAGGTGGGCTCTGTCTCTGTTACCATCCAGAAAGCAGTGCCTGCCCCATTCTACAAGCTAGGTGAGTGGACTGGGCATTGTGGGAAGATTTACAGCAGGTGTCTGGGTGACTAGAGGGTTGTGATTGAAGCGGGAGAATAACAAGCATCAACAGAGGGGAAACGACAGAAGTATTCATCATGAATCTGCAGGCAGGAGGTAGAATCACCCTTGTCGATGGAGAATTTGGTACAAAAGAGAGGGATCTAGTAGTTTGTCCTTCACCTACAGCCTATGGGCCTGAATGATAGCAGGACATTATTTCGAGGATTTCCTTCTGGAATTCCACTCCTCTGTGTCTCCCTCGCCCCCTCCCTCCATCTCTGTCTCCATCTTTATGTCTGTCTCTCTCTATTTTTCTCTGTCTCTGTCTGTCCAATCAATGGGAAATGTACCCATGTTCCATGCTATGTACTTCCAGGGAAGACAACCCTGGAGGAGTGGAAGAGCTGTATCCAGGATAACGTAGGCCCCTGGGGAGAACTGGCTACAGACAACATCATCCTGACAGTACCAACTGAAAACCTCAAGACTCTGGAGGACCCAGAGCCTCTGCTCCAGTTCTGGGATGAGATTATGCAGGCTGTGGCGAGGCTGGCAGCCCAGCCCTTCCCTTTCCAAAGACCTGAGAGAATCGTTGCTGATGTGCAGATCTCAGCTGGTGAGTGCTCCAGGGGAGTGCTCCCTGTAAGCAAACTCTGTTTTGCTATTATTTTGCCTTTCTTGTAGTGCACAAGCATTGTAAAGCATCATTTCATTATTAAACTGCAAGAGGGAAGGACCTAAATGCATGGACCATAATGTGAATGAAAGAAGTTTACAAATAAACGGTCAATCGTTGGCATCTTACAAAATGCAATTTCCTAAGACAGTAATAATGACCAGAAACTCGGTGCTGGGAGGTCTCCAGGGGCTGTCAAGATCTTTTCAAAAAGAGTATTTAAGATGGACTACTTTCCTCAGACATATATCAAAACTGAAATGGAGGGGAGGTGCATAAAGCAGTCTGAGGTAGATATGGGAACCAAGGACTTTGCAGAGAAGATACATAAATGTAGGAAATCAATTCAGAGTCCTGCTCCCTATGATAAGGAAGCTAAATTTTTATCTACAAAGCTATCTCTATCATGACATGCAAATCTGGTTAACAATGCTGATTTGTGGGAAAACTGACATTACCCTGGCTTCTCTAGTCTGGACAATAGGGCATCATGTCATAACCTCACAGGCAAAGGAAGATCTTGAAAACCAAGAATTAAATTCCAGCATGGACAGTTCTGTAAAGTATCTTCCCACCCTTTAGAGTCAGAGCGAAAATGAGGACAAACCTTAATTGGTTGAATCTGCGAAGGTGTCAATTGCTGAAGAAAAGTCAAACAGCACAGATATTCTGGAATCAGTGGATATGAGCAGAATTGTGGAGGAAAAGCTCAACAGTAGAAGGAGAAAGTGGAGGCAAACTGTGCTTTCATGCTCCATCTTTGCCTTTGCATCCTCAGGCTGGATGCATGCAGGGTACCCCATCATGTGCCATCTGGAGTCTGTGCAGGAGCTCGTCAGTTTGGAAGACATGAAAAGTAAGGGCCTGTGGGGACCCATCCATGAGCTGGGTCACAATCAGCAGCGTCATGGCTGGGAGTTCCCTCCCCACACCACCGAAGCCACCTGCAATCTCTGGTCAGTCTATGTGCATGAGACAGTCCTGGGGATTCCCAGGGCTCAGGCCCACCCTGCGTTGAAACCTAAAGAACGAGAAATGAGGATCAGAGACCATCTTCAGAAGGGAGCACCTCTGGATAACTGGCATGTCTGGACAGCGCTGGAGACATATCTGCAGGTATGGAGCACAAATTCAAGGAGATGATGCTGACAGACTAATCAGTCATGTAGTAACCTGCCTCCTAAGAGTGCTCCAATTCCTACATGACCCCCAAACCTGGTACCACTACCACCACCCCTTGATGTGGATCATTGATAGCACCTCTTAGCTCATATACTTGTATGTTAAAAGTGAAACCTCTCCCAGTTCCAGACCCAGGATTTTGGAATATACAAGGTAATGGAAAGTATTTTGAGAAATTACATGGCATTTTTTTCTATACTATCCTGATCTTTGACATAAAGGGAAGGCCCAGGGTCATATTCCAGACTTTTTTTCTCACTGGCTTTGCCCTTCATCTCCTAATAACTCTTCCCTAATAGCCATTGTTTGGTTATAATTTGTTTTCCTTACCTTTAGAGTTTAGTAACTGTAACCAGCCTCTGTAACAGCAGAGAAATATCTACTTGCTATGTATAACTATAGACGTATCTACAAGTTGGTATTGTAGGAAATATACCTACTAACTTTGATTACCTCGCTAGAAGCAGAAGCATTGTTTGAATAAATGATAACCAAGCAATAGGAGAACAATGATGTCATAAAATTAGTCCTTTTTTTGTGGGTAAGCATCTATTCCTGCCCACCCACCCCCCCAAAAAAAACATGCTTCCTGGTTTCCTGGTCAGTCATCAAAGCTTCTGGCCACAGCAGACCTTTTGCATTGTCTACTCCAACCCTGTTCAGGGGACTTATAGAGCTAAGAAGTCACAGAGGTTCATAAACCGTAAGTTGTGAATTTAGCCAATTTTTTTCAAAAGCACCCCTTAAACAGCAGATTTAGAACATAGAGTCAGGATTTAACAGCAAGCCCTGCTGCTATACTCTAATGTTTCCCTTCACTGATTTTGAAGACTGGGTGAGATATGGTCTCAGTCAATGAGCAACTCAACTCAGTCAGGTTGGGGAAAAATCTTAAGATCTGGATAATACATTAAAAAATAAAGCTAATAATAGTAACTGCCTTTTATTGAGTGGCTCTTTATCCATTAGGGTTTTAGAGAGCATCTTTCCTAGATTGCGGGATAGAGTTTGACTGTCAAGGGCTGCTGTGATCCAATAAGATCGTATTTATATGGAAACGCAGAACTGGAGATGGGACAAACAACAGGTTCGAAGGTGATGGGAAGCGGTTCCTGATGGCAAGATATATCTAGGACCATGCACACAGGCAGCATTCACATTCGCAAGCTCAACATCATATTCCTCCCTTTCTTTGTCTTTCCAGCTCCAGGAGACCTTTGGGTGGGAGCCATTCATCCAGCTCTTTGGTGAATACCAAACCTTCTCTGATCTCCCCAACAACAATGAGAGCAAGATGAACTTATGGGTGAAGAAGTTCTCTGAAACCGTTCAGAAAAACCTGGTCCCTTTCTTTGAAGCCTGGGGCTGGCCTGTCCAGAAGAAAGTGGCTGAGAGCCTGGCACACCTGCCCTCCTGGCAGGATCACCCCATGAAGGTGTACATGAGTGTGGAGAAGTAAGGGATGTGGAGCAGGAGGGGCAGCGGTGGGGTGGGATGAGAAAGGACCACACTGCCAGCTTCACCACTGTGTTCTGGTTTGAGATTCTCACTGTCTTAACTATTTTTCTCAACCATTTGTCTTTAAAATGTATTTTGGGTTGTTTTCAATATAATTCCAGTCTCTCTTTAAAGTCCAGAGCTCCTGTAAAATGAACTTAGAGAATGTCCCTCTGACATCCCATCAGCACATTCTCAACTCAGGGACCATATTTTTAGATATTGACATTCCTTAGATAGTTGACAGTTGTTTTGCACATGAAAGGCGTTAAGGAATTCATGCTACATGAAAGAACACCAAGGTTTCCTGACATAGAAGGAACAGTCAGTCCAATTTCCTAGAAACTGTGCACAGTGTTTTCTGAGTTACATGGATAATAATTCCAGCAGATTTCCAAGGCCGATACAGCTAACATCACCTCACCATATAGGAGAAAATGATGTGGATATTAAACAAGTTCTGGAATCAAAACTGAGAAGAGAAAGATTCATGCTTTGACAGATGTCCATAACAATGATAAACTGTAGAGCATATTCTCAACAGATTGGTAATTTTAACAAAAGTTTTCCCAAAAGAGAGATGAAAGTTTAATGATCTCTAATTTTTTCCTATGTTCATTGTTGCATTTTGACTAAATATCAGATTGAATCTCTCAATGGTTTTAGTATCTAATATTTTTAACCTCAGCATAGGCTCATCTGGCTTAGGGGGACGAGCCTTCAGAAGAAATTTGAACCAAGGTGTTTCAGTTCCCTAACTTATGGTATTCTTAAATCATGATTTGAAGAAGGGTTGAGTAGAGGGATAATGCTGGAATTAGCAGGTTACCTAGGAGACAAAACCAAAACCTAAGCTTGTACACACCAACTGTTTGTAGGACTTTGAGCCCTGTGGTGGTTTCTTCTCACTTGTGCTTCTGGATGCTGCCTTAACCTCTTGTTTTAATGCTCGTGATTTTGAGCCTGTGGCTACAACATCCACAGATTAATCTTGGATGCATAAAACCCATTCTCCGCTCACAGTATTATTGTTCTAAGGTTAGAAACCTTATTAGGAGAAAATGTTGAAGAACAGTAAGCTCTATGACAAAGTCCCAGTGTGAGTGTGTGGGGGGTCATGAAGTCCCACCTCCAACTGAAGAGCTGTGGCAATCTATGGCTGCTGGGAGAGGAGTCAACTTTCTTCAGAGCTGTAGCCCCCAAGAGGCTACCTATGACTTACACCACTCACATTACAGGCAACTCTAAGTGGACTTGGTGCATTTAATTAATGAGCATATGAATGTGGGGGGAATAGATATCTGGGGATGGGGCATGTGGAAAAGAAATGTGAAGTGGTTTTAATCAAAGCACCTTATATGCAGGTATGGAATTCTCAAACAATAGAAAAAAACAACAAGCTAGATGCACCCAGCTTTTCTAGATGGGAGTTTGTTCTTGTGATTTCTCTTAAACTAGACACTTTGGTTTGGTCACCTCTTGTACAGGGCATTGGTTTTTTTTGGATTGGGTCTCTCTCATGAGCCACTTTCTTTCTTGGAGTCAGAAAGTCCCATCAGTTCTCCTGTGTGTGCAATAGAAAGAGTCAAGCTGGTTTGGAAGGGATTGATTTACTTGTAGAAGGAAGCACGAGATCCCAGCTTGACCCATCTGATTCATATCTTCTAACCTCAACTAGTTCTAGTACTGGAAGGTGGTCCAGATCAAGTTGATGAAGGTCAAGTCACAGATTTTAATGCACAGACTGGAAAGCAGACATTGCCTTAGGTACTGGGGGAAAAAATCTTAATTGCACAAAGTTTTAATTATTGTAGTTAGAACAAGAGATGGTTGAGGGTGATTTTTCTTTTTGTTTGTTTGTTTTTTGTTTAGAAATTTTATAACAAGCTTGTATTATGATTTAGGAATTTCATAATGTAAGCATATTACTCATAGCATTAGAAATAGATTTTAATGATTCATTTATTTTTATTTTGCAAGCAGTGGTATTATGTATGGATGTGTGTCTGTTGTGAGGGTGTCATATATCCTGCTTAGCTGTACTCTGCTAAGCAGTTGCCTGAAACAGCTTTATTCATCAACTGTTTCAGTAAAAGAAACACATATGCAGAAGGACATCACACATCAAACTTCTCCCAGGTCCTCCCCACCTACCTGTCCACTCAACTTTTTGTTCTATCTTTATATATAATAAAAAAAGTGGGTGAAGTTTTCCTTGATTTGAGCACTGCATGTATTTGTAGACTTGAGTCTCGTCTCTCACTTTCTTCTAGCAATGATAACCATGTCCTTTATGGACATCATCTTTCTTATCTTTAGACTGTTCACTGCTTCTGTATCTTTCTTCCATCTATCGTCTTGTTCTGGCTTCTAGGCTTTCTCTATGGTAGAATGAAAATGAACAAGCCAACAAAACACATGTTCGACTGGAAATTATTTTTTAAAAGATGAAGAATCATAATGCATGCATGATTTTATATTTATCATAAGAAAGGGGAGCAATTTTCCATTAGGTATTCATGTATCTTTATTCAGACAGCAAACATAAATGGCCTATAATCTTTTAGAAATACAAATAATTTCAACTTATATTTTATCTGTTATTTAAATATCAGTAAAAATTAATCCATATGGTTTAGTGTTGCATTTAGTAAAACCTTGCCATGTAAGGAAAGATGCACCATCTTGGGACCCACATTATAGGATCGTGATGGGGTGTCTAATCACTTAGAGCAACAGAGAGGTCTTTCCTAATTCACAAGAAGCTGATATGGATTTAAAGAAGAGACATCTGTGTATTAAGTTGTATTAATATGTTGTTGCCTTTAAGGTCTTCTCTTTCAGCAATCCATCCATCTACTCATCTGCTATCTTCTCCTTCTTCAGTTCCTAAACTAAAGATCATCTTCTCCGGCCATATCCTCATGCTTTGATGCAATCTGTGTTTTCCTTGTATGACAATCATCCCCTAGGTAATGACTTAGATGATGTCTCCCACTCCATGGAGACTTTGTCAAAGCAGAGACCATGTCTCTCTATTTCACTGCTGTGCTTGCTAACCCACCCCCACCAGATATGAGTCTGTCATGAAGCAGGTTGGCTGTGGGTATTCCCTGCACTAGCATACTCTAAACAATCTGCAGTTGTGGGGAAGATCAGAAGTGGAGTGCCGATGCCTGTTCCTGCTCTGTCTGTGAAGGACTATCCCTATCTATCACAGTCCAGGAAAAAAATACCTCTTTCACTCTTCCACAGTAAAGCTTCAGTGGTACAATTACCATAATTCCCTGTGTCTACCTCTGTATTCAGGCTTCATTGTGAGCACAGCTTTTCCAATTCCGTGTGTGTGTGTGTGTGTGTGTGTGTGTGTGTGTGTGTGTGTGTATGAGTGTTCTGCTGCTGCCTAGTGCCTACAGAAAACAATAGATGTTATTGGATCCCTTTGGAATGGAGTTAAGATGTTTACTTTATGGAAAGCAGAAGCCACATCGCTATATACCTACAGGTGATGAAAGAAGAGAACATCACTTTTCCATGTTAGGGGTAAACTAAGAAATAAGGGATTTGGGGAATGGTTAGAAGTAAAACTGTAAAGTCTATCAAGCCCCGGTCTATGGGACAAACCCAAGTGAGAAGCACTACAGACAGATGGAGAAAGGAAGCTCTTCACCCTGAGGAATAAAAGCTCACTCTGAGGGGAAGCCCCTCCGCAATCACTTAAAATAACACACTGCATACTCTGAACACAGGGATCCTACAAGCTGCCAACCCAGAGGGGCAACTGGACTAGCTCCATTTAAGAAGTCTCTCAGTGGGACCTCTATAGTTTTATGCTTTCCAACAAATTTCTAAACACTGCTTGACTTCATTGTCCTTTCAAAGCAGCAGGTACAGAGTGGGGAAAAAGGTGATTTCCAATGACAATTCTGAGGGAGGGCTGTCTTAGTCAGGTTTCTCTAGAGGAACTGAACTAACAGAATGAGCATGTATATATAGAAAGGGGATTTGTTAGAATGAGTTATAAAATTTAGTCCATGTAACCCAACAATGGCTGCCTATGAACATAAGTTTCAAGAATCTGGTAGTTGTTTTCAGTCCACAAGGATGAATGCCTCAGGTGATCTTCAGTATATTCTGGAGCCCCAAAGACGGTCTAATGCCAGTGAGTGTTGGAAGTCCCTTCTGGCAGGTCCAGGTTGCAGTCTCTAGGGGCTTGGCAGCTTTTCCCATAAGTCTGACAATGTGGAAACTCCCTCCCTCCCCAGAAAAAAAAATTTCCCTCTATTTGCCCCGGTAGAATGTTTCTAGGCCTGGAGGACTGACCTTATCTGAAAGTTGTATCTAAACCAAGTGCTTGACTTATCTTTAGCTTGAATCCTGGCACAGATTCCTGCTAGCAGACGTGTGCTCAGAGCTCTGCTATAGGACCCTGCTGCCTCATAGGAAGCCTTGTGATAGAAGTGTGACACGTAATGCAAATTAGGGTTTGTCCCCAGGCTTCCCAATCCTACATATTTCTTATACCCTGGAATAAAGTTGAGCTGATTCACCAAAGTCTGTCTCCAGAGGGCTGTCTCTTTCATACACACAGTCGTCCTAACCCTGTTCCCCACTTCTGCTCCTTCCATCCTCTAGACCAATGCAGTGAATGGTCCCAGGGAAGAGGCAGAACCACAAATGAGGAAATGGACTTGCTAGGAAGGGCTTTCTTCTTCCATGTCCTTAAGGTAGGCTGCCAGCAGAAGATGTGGTCCACACTAAAGGTAGATCTTTCTAGCTCAATAGATCTGGATTGAGTTTATTTCCCCACTTTAAAGATCCACATTACAAGTAGGTCCTTCCACTTCAATTGACTTAATTTTTTAAAAAAATCCTTTACAGGTATGTCCAGTCATTTGGGTTTTTGTTAATTTCAGATGTAGACAAATTTGCAACCAAGAAGAGCTGTCACAAGGACTAATATAAAATATATGAAGAACAGAATAACCAGGATCAATAAAACAAATTACAGCT